AAAAAAAAAAAAAAGAGGAAGAACATTTCTAGAGGGGAAGAATCCCTGTGGTTAGTGGGTGACAGATGTCAAAGAGGGAGCTTGATTCTGGAAAAAAAAGAGAGAGAAACACGCGTCGTAGTGGAGACTCCTGAAAAGCACGCTAATGTTTCTCTGATTTGGGGGGACGTTGTGTCATTTACGAAGACCTGAAGAACGAACTGGGCGTCGTGCCAGTTCTTTCTCTCTCTCTCTCTGCCGAGATTCGCCTTGAGCAAGGCGCAGGCATGGAGCGGATCATTTATCTGCACTGCAGATAAATGTGTATCTGTTATTGGCACGGCGAAGCCCATCTGGAAGCGGCCTCGAGAGACGAGCAAGCCAAAAAAAACACCCCATTCTGCTGAGTCTGTCCTGCTTGGGGGACTGGCGATGGTCGCTCCTCCATCCGCTGAGGGGCGAGTGAGTGAGAAAGAGCCCTCGGCCCCTCCGGGTCTCCTCTCCGCCTCGGGTGGCTGGCATTGGGCTTCACCCGGGGTCCAAACGAACCGGTTTTTGTGCTCCTCCCTGGGCTTGGGCGCTTGGTGTTTTGACTGGTAACCCTGCCCAATCGACAAAGGCTTTGCGGTTTCCCTCCCGGTCGGCTGGCTGAGATGGCGCCACGTGCTCTGTGCCATCCTGTTGTCAGAACCCTGCCCTTCCTGCAGTGATGGTGCATTGAACTGGCACCCTCCTTGTAGGTGCTGGCTTTAAGCGTGCTGGGGACTCCCTGTGCAGCAGGAATTTTTTAATTTTTTGAGTTAACAGGGCGAGGAGAGAGAAGAGGGTTTTGAGGGTTCCCCAGGCAGCATCGGCCACATCACGGCTGCCCCCCCCCAGAAGTCACCCCTGCCGTTTTATTGCAGGAACTGGCAAACTTCCCAGTGGATCACGCGATGGGCTCATTTTAGGGCCACAGGGATTGCCGTCCGCCATTGGACGATCTTTTCTGTCTGATTATCCTTGCTGTCAGCGAGAAGTAACCGGGTTCCAATTCTGCGCGAGGATTTCTGGTTCCCATTAAATCACGGCTGCATTCGGATCTCATAGTTGAGCAGAACTGTTCATCTACCAGGGGTTCCCAAGCTTGGGTCCCAAATGCTTTTGGACTACAACTCCCAGAAACCTTCACCACAAGCTGGGCTGGTCAGGATTTCTGGGAGTTGCAGTCCCAAGAACATCTGGGTTACCCAAGATTGGGAACCACTGGTCTATACGTCCACAGGTGAAATGAAACAGAACTTCTAAAACATCTGAACTTCCTTTAAAAAAAAAACACACCAAACAAGTTTCTAGTCCTTGATGGGGACCTACTGCTCTCCTTTGAGCAGCTTCAGCCGCCAACTGGGAGGAAGTGGGAGAAAAGTGGCACTGGCTGAGTCCTTTTTTGAAGGCACATTGTTTTGCATGCATGCAGATATATACCGATTTAATCACTTGGTTTAAAGCCATTTTCATTCAAGGACTGAGGCTTAATCCCCACGTTGTGTGGGCGCTATGGAACGCCCTCCTCTTTGCTCCCCCAGATGGCTGGGGAGGGTTTCCTGGCTCTCTCCAGAGAGGGTTTTATTTGGGGTGCACCCAGAAAGACCTAGCCACGATTCTGCCGAAGGAAGGAGCCCTGCCTGGAGAGGTCTCCATTGGACTTAAACAGGCTGTCGCTCTGCTGTGTCCTGATTTATAGCCCACAGCCGTTCTGTCTCACGCAGCCTTTGGCCTAATTTCCAAAGTGCTCCGCATGTGATCGTACGGGGGAATGCTGCCGTTTGAGCCACCCACAAGAATCCCTTGAGGGAATGCCATCTTCCCCAGAAGACCTCAGTTGCCTGCCTTCCACTGGCTTGGACCAGCATCTGTCCCCCTTCACCTGCAAAGTAGGTAGCCTGACACCTCCAGGAAGCGCAAAAGCTGCCGATCCTTGGCATGTTGTATTTGAATGCGGGCTAGCAGAGGCCAAGGGGAGTCAGGGCTTAGGTGGGGAAAAGCTCCCCGAGAGAGACTCGGGTCTCCGGTGGCCCCCAACACCCGTGCTTGGACCCCAGGACCAGCCGGTGGCTTTGCCTTGGGAGTGGATCAGGCAGCCTTAACAGATGCTCTCTGGCCCTGCAGAGGTCCTACAGCAAGGAGCTGTTCGAGGAGGTCATTTCGAAGATGAGGAAAGCCGGCATCAAGTCGACCATCGCGATAGAGAAATTCAAGCTGCTGGCCGAAAAGGTGGAGGAGATTGTCGCCAAGAACGCGCGCGCCGAAATCGATTATAGCGATGCTCCTGATGAATTTAGAGGCAAGTAGATTTTTACGGAGGAGGGGCTGACTTAGAAAACTCATGGAAAAGTTCCATAGATGCAACCCTTTTTACTTTCACCAGTTATTCCCATATAATAGGACCCCACTTCTCTGCGGGATTGGTATCCGCTGATTCACTTATCCACAGCTCGGACATATTAAAAATCCTAGTAATATGTATTTCTCAAGCTGAAGTTACCAGAACTGGCCTCTAGAGGGCACCAGAGACAATGCTATGTTAGTGTTTGATATAATTTGCTTTTTTCACCACCGCGCCGGGGGGGGGGGAGGGCTTAGAACTGATTCCCCCACAGATTCGGGGATCCTGTTGCGTTCGGTTTTGCAAAGGAGTGCCAGCATGAACTGATTTCCCCCACAGATTCGGGGATCCTGTTGTATTCGGTTTTGCAGAGGAGTGCCAGCATACCTTTTTTTGTTTCCACTTGAGTTGTGCACACAGAAAGGTGATAAACCTGGAAGTTCTTACAAGCTTCCCCTGCTTTCCCATTTAGATCCCCTCATGGATACGCTCATGACGGATCCTGTGCGGTTGCCCTCTGGGACCATTATGGATCGATCCATCATCCTCCGGCACCTTCTCAATTCTTCGACTGATCCCTTCAATAGGCAAACCCTAACAGAAAACATGCTGGAACCAGGTAGAGGAAAGGGGGGAGCGTTTTGCGTTGAAATCACCGTGTGTGTTTCGAGTTACACAGAAACTTCTTCTGGGCAAGAGGTTTCGAGCAGAGCAGTTTTCTCCACAAAAGGAATGACTTGTTTCAGTGTGTCCGCCTAGATGAGGCAGAGCGAATTTTTCCGCGACATTCTGCAGTACGTTCATCTCCATTTCCTTGCCTGAAACCTAACTTTTCCTCCTCGACTTAATGACGCGTTTGTGGCCGACACCAGAGTAGCCTATGAGCTAAGTCAGAGATGTGACTTCTATAACTATTCCGTCTTAGCAATGTATATATAGAAATAAGTTTTGTAAGTTGTGTAGGTTTTTATTTGTATGTTATATTGTTGTATTTTATTACTCATGTAAGCCGCCCCGTGTAGACTTTGTCTAGGGGGTGGGGGTGGGGGTAAAAGTCCAATAAAAGTAAAAGTAAAAAATTAAACCACGTTTTAAGAGCAAGCCGAAGACAATTTGACCGCTAGAATATGGGGCTTCAGGGCTTCCAACTTTGGGTCCTCAGAGTTTGTCAGGATAGACGTCACTCTTTATCATCCCAGATCATTTGCTCCACTGGCTGGGGATTATGGTTGTTATAGTCCCAACAACACAAAAAGCTGCTGGGATGTGGGGTTAAAAGTCCATCATCGTTTGCCTTCCCCTCCAAGGGATTGAGGGTTTTTTTTCCTACAGAACGTTAGGGATCTTGAAAGCACAGTTTTAAGAAATGTCAAGGAAGCAACCTGGTTGATGGGGGAATACTTTTACAATCCACCACTGTTTTTTCTTTCATTTTAGTTTTATTTTTAACCTTTTTTTCCCTCTCCCCCCCCCCCAACCATCTTTTCTTGCTGTTCCCCTTTCAGTGCCGGAGCTGAAAGAGCAGATCCAAGCCTGGATGAGACACAAGCACAGCACTGACAACTGAGGCAGCAGCCCTGGGTGTGCCGCGGCGACACACACACACCGAGGTCAGCTGTGAGGAAAGAAGGGAGGCCTGGAACGTGAGGATGCGCCATCGCTTGGGGGGACGGGTCTCACGCCACGCCTGCTGCTGCAGATGACACAGAAGCATGTGGAGAGAGAGAGATGGAACCATGGCAAAAAAAATAAAAAATAAAAATAAACACACACACACCTACACACACACAAAACAAACAAACCACGGCTTAATTCTTGTACATATATTTAAGTGATAAAAATGACAGTCCATAGCAGCTTGGGGGATAATTTTTTTTTTTTTAGGAAGCTGGCTGTTGTAACGAACCAATGTCCTCTTGACATCTCATAATTGGGGTTCATAACGGCTAAATCTTTTAGCGAAAGACACATGGATCAGGGCAGCAAATCCACGACGTGTTCTCTCTTTTTTATTATTATTATTTTTTGAAAAATATATTGCCAGAATCTCCGTTAATTTGATTGTGGTTGAAACCTTGAACATTTTGCTGCTAAAAGTAATTCCTTGACCCTTTCATTTTTGTCCCTGTCGGTTCTTTCCTGCACTCTCCTGTCTCCTTAATTTTTTTCCTGTAATGTGAACCTGTTTCCTGTATATTAAAAGGAAAAAAGAAAAGAAAAAAGTCCTTCTCTGACCCCAGGAGAACATAATCTTGAACAGATAAGCGTGCCTGGAACAAGGGTCGATCGGGGTGGGAGGTGGGAAATCATATTTTTCTATTCTGCATATTTGTTTATTTTTATTTGGTGGGCTGTAGCTGGGAAGAGTGACTCACAATGGCGAATTTCTTTCACTCTTGCGCTCTCTCCTCCTTCCCCCCCCCCGACACATCCCTTATTTGTCATGTAGGAGAGAGGTTTGCTACTCTTTGAGTTTTCCTTTGGCTTGTGAATTGTTTTCTTTTAAGCCTTGTAATATAACAGTTGCCAAGAGGAAATCGGTGTGGGCTTTGTTGACTTAAAAGATACTGTACTTAGAGAAAGAGAGAGGGAGAGTTGTAAAAATCTCGAAAAGTTGGAGAGCTAAAAAAACGAGGAGGATTCTGCATCTTTTAAGAGCTTTGTCTCCAAGACTAGGAGAGAGGTGAGTGGCAGATCCTTTTCTCCCCCCCCTTTCTTTTTTTAAATGCGGGCACCTCCCCGGTCGCAGGCAAAACCTCCCATTTTTACGTTGTGTAACCAGTTTTGTATCCATGGCTTGGCCTTACCAAAGCAACAAGGGTGCAGAAAATAAAAATTGTAGACTTGCTTTTTTAAAAAAAAGAAAAGAAAAGAAACTATATTAAAAAAAAACATTTTTGTATGACTGCCCCCCCTGCTTAAAAGATACTTGAACTTCCTTTTTAAAAAGGATTGGAAACCGCAGTGTTTTAAAAAGAAGAAAAAAAGAAGATTTAAGCCTGAAAAGAAAATCTTTTTCTTTTCTCTTTCTTTTTTTTTCCTCCGCTGACAGTGTCCTCTGTTCAGTTCCTGATTCTTGAACAACAATAAATGATGATACACCTTCACAAAGAGCCCTCTGCTTGTGGGTCTCCTTTATATTTTCTTCATTTGCATGCCATAGGTGGGTATATGGGGCGGGAGACCAAAGACCTGTTCCAGTGGCACAGTTTGGGTACATCCCGCCAGCACACACACCCTTCGCGCATCCTCCCTTCTGTTGCCCTCTCGCCATGGAGGCTGATGAGTTACAGAAGGGTTAATGGGGGCTGGCTTTTTCAGGAGCTAGAACCCGGGGATTCTGGCTTCCATGGAGAGCATCCACATATAGAGGATATAACTTCGAACTGGCCTTTTTGCAGAACGCAATGGACATTACTGCTGTCACACATCAGATAATACATCCTGGAAACGTATACCGTTTTTTTCTGTGTATAAGACTCCCCCATGTATAAGACACCCCCCACTTTTCTAACCGAAAATTAAGAAATCTAAGTGGGGCTTAGCAAGTGGAGGGGGAAAGCAGCGATCAAAGCCCTGCAGGATCGCTTTGATCCCTGCTTTCCCCTCCACTTGTTTTTGTTCTCTCCTCAGCTTGCTTTCATGTATAAGATGACCCTCAATTTTTAGTCTAAAGATTTTAGACAAAAGTATAGTCTTATACACGGAAAAATGCGGTAAATGCACACTTCTGGATTTTTTAAATTTACTATTTTAAGATGAGTGAATCGGTGGATACTGATCCTGCCGATGGGGGTGTCCCTATCGTGTTGTTTTCACAGTATATCCTGGAACATGGACTGATCAGGACTTGGTTGCCCAAGATATTAAAAATACATACTTCCCTAGCAAAATAAGGCAGTTATTTGAACCTACGGTATGAATATGTCCCCTTTTAATCCTTGCTTATTGTATGGGGCTACGAAGGAGGCACACCACAAGCTTGCTGCCTGCATCCATGGGAAACCAGCATTAAGGCTTAGAACACATAGACTTGCAGTGCTGTGTTTTAGATATATTTGAAGTCTCACCGCTTCACAAATAGGAGAATGGTGCCCCTTAATTGTGAGGGAAATGATGAATAATCATGATAAATAGCTGTGTTGTGGGCTGGCTGCTGCTGTAGGGAATGAAATGCTCTTGGAATCTGTGTCGAAGCTAATCCTTAATTAGCTAATGGAGCCATTGGGTTCGTTTTTGATGCCTCACAAATGGCAAACCAAGACCAAAATGGGTTATGAGCACTGGCCCTGAACAGGGCGAGGGTGACCAGACGTAAGTCAATGGCTTTGTTTGTGCAGAGCAGAGGATAATATACAGAGAAGGGGGGGGGAGGAATATATCACACTAATGCATTTTTATTTTTTCAGTTTCTGTAGGCGGTGGGAAAGCTGATGAGCACTGGCCCTGAACAGGGCGAGGGTGACCAGACGTAAGTCAATGGCTTTGTTTGTGCAGAGCAGAGGATAATATACAGAGAAGGGGGGGAGGAATATATCACACTAATGCATGTTTATTTTTTCAGTTTCTGTAGGCATTGGGAAAGCTGGCGATATATATATATATATGGCCGGATCTGTTCCCTATAGAATAAACTAGTAACCAGCTGGCCCTCTGGACAGGATGGTGTAACTCTCTTGAGATTTTGCCTTCCCTATTAAAGCTGTTCGAAAATGACTGCTTTAAACGAAAGGTTTGGAAGAGCTGTAAAACAAGCCAAACTCATGATTTCATTAAAGCGTAGAGGGGCTCTTTGACGACCAAACAGTAACTTACTCCAGAACGTTTTCTTTACAGCTCTTAGAGGAAATTATCTTGGAGTTGATCAGTGACCGCTGGGAAGAACAGTCAATTTGGGTTGATCCTAAATAATTTACAGGGCGGGGTTGGGGGGAAGGACAACCATCTTGGTCCACTGCAGTTTTACGTGGAAGAAGGTTTTGTGGATTACAGTGTGCCGTGCTTTGGATCGGATGACCTGAATTGGCAGTCCATGGAATCTGAGCAACGAATCAAAGGCTTTACACAGCTCTTGGGGCCTCAGACCTATGATTGGACTACAACTCCCATAAATCCTGGCCAGCGCCAGGTGGTGAAGACTTCTGGGAGTTGGGTTCCAAGAACATCTGGGGACCCAAGGCTGGGAACCATGGTTTTTTAGAGGCCCAAGAAGACACTTGCCTTGTCTCTCTGCCACTGACATAAAGGCAAATGGATTGTGTTGACTCAACAGCACTGCACACAGCTCCATTGTGTTGAAATGAAAGCAGCAAAGTAGGCAGCTGCTGGACCATTGCCGAAGAAGAACAAATGTCAGGGAGAAAGTATGTGTGTGTGGAGTGGGTGGCAGATTGGCCCGTGCCGATTTATATGTCTAGAAGATCAGTGGTTCCCAACCTTGGGTAAATCTGGGTGTTTGGGGAAATGCATCGGTTAAAAAGTAACAAGTTACTTGTAACTGGCAACTTCAAAGCTGTAGTGAAGTGCTAACATTGATAGACAACTTTTATTTGGATGGCTCTTTTAAGCTGATTTTGATCGGACATGTAGGGAACTCCCCCTGCATAACAAAAATAAAAATAAACAAAACAGTTATTTAATGCCGTGCCAGACTCAGCCCAGCATTTAAGCAAAAGGGAATATTTTGCCTAGATGGGATCTGGAGACCAGCTGATGCCCCCCGATCAATAGGCTGAATAAAATAGACCAAAGCATCATCAATATTTAAATGGGCTTGGCTTTGGCTTCAGATTAGACTGCAGAGCTTCTGAACAAAGGCTGCTTCAATATCGATGTGAAAGCAAAGAGCAACGCTTCATTTGAAAAAGTGAGTTTATTCTGGGTTCTTGGAAGGATATGCAATGTCACATGTTGGAAGCAATCTTGAGGGCCATCTTGGCAAACCTTGTTGAAGAAGGAAATCCCACAGCTGAAGTACTGTATCCATGAAAAATGAGATAATCAAATCTCTGCTTGAAAGATTGAGAATGGAAGAACATCGACCACTTTCCAGGGTAGACATATCCCGTTACCGTACTGCTCAGTAACTATCAGGAGGGTTTTTCTAGCATTTAGAGAACCTCTTATCATTGCAGTTAATTGGTTCAGATCCAAGCTTCGAATGTTAGCTCTGTCCTCCATTATACTTTTGCTTCTCGGTCTTGTTGGCTAAATGTGATGAGTTCCCACAACTATTCCTCATAAGGCTTGGTTTCCAGACACTTTTTAAAAACCCTCTTGGTCACTTCTCTTCCGGGTGGTCAGCATCCATCTTAACCTGCAGATCCCAGAACAGCAAACCCTGGCAAAGTATTATTTTCTTTGATTTGGACAGTACTGTTTACAGAGAGGGTTGAAATTGCATCAGGCTTTTACTGTGTTTGCCCAGAGTCATTGCTAGTAATTTGAGGATCTGGGCCAAGCAGGAGTGGCTATTTATTTTCCTAACATGCCCCAATATATTCACCTCTGGATTCTGGTGCAAATCCCCAGTACTTAACACCCTGTGGTTGTCTCCTTTTTTTTAGCTTATCATCTACCAAAAAAAAAAAATCAATTTTTAAAAAAAACAAGCATTAAAATAAAGAGCATTATGCAGTAAAAACAGGCTGAGATGGTCTCATATTTCTTCAACTCTGAGAGCTGGTCCTGGTATATCAGGATTTGACCTCTAAGTGGCACAGTTTCAAATTAGATTCCCCCCCCCTTCCATTTACACTATAGCTCTCACACCAAACATTTTGATGTTAGATTTTTGTGAACTTAAAAAAACTGATCAGAGGCTGCAATTGCAGGACGGGAAACCTTTAAGATCAAACCAGACAGGAGAGAAGCTTTGAAAAGTTACTCTTTTTTTTTTTTTGGAGGGGTTGCGAGTCTCACCATCACTTCAACTTTATAGCTGACATAAATGATCTCTACATTAATCCCTTAACATGGATTTTTGTTTTTTAAAATTAAAATCTGAACGGACTTTTCTTTATGAATATCAGACAGCACATAGATGTCACATAATTTTTCAGTTTTTCCTCTCTGTTTAATTGGGTTCCATTCTGCAAATGTCACCCTGGGCCTTTCCACAAATCATGCAGTAGAAAACCTCATGTGATATAATGCAATTTTATTATTATTAAAAGTGTATTCCTTTTTGAGGAATATTCGGTTTTTAGAAAAGTAACTTGTGAATAGCTAATTTTCACACGTTCGTTCTTTAATCCTTGTCCATGGCACTATTTTCCCTCAAAAATTCAATTTGCATCTTTTCTTCCCCACACCTCAGAGAAGAAAAATGACAAGAATCTAGTTAGGCAATTAATTAAGGGAATTTTATCAGAGAGTAGAGCAACAGAGAGGGATCGTCATCTTTCAGACTTTCTATATTTGAGGCATGACAAACTAAATATAACACACATGACGTGAGGGGAGAGAAAAGGCGACTGTGAGGAATCCATTTTCGCGCCCTCCCCTTCCTTTTATCTCTCCCAGCGGAGGGGTCTGTAATCTCCGTCCTCTCTCGCTCCGCCGCAAGGGGGAGCACCATCTAATACCTCTACGCCGAACCCGGCCTCAGGCTGAGGGGGTAGGAAGCAATAAAATAATCCCTTTATTTTGCGAACGCTAATTGGTGGCTCTTCCTGGACCGTCCCACCTTCCCGGCGTTTTCCCTTCATGGGATTGGCCGAGAGGCGGATCGCGACGGGCAGCCGAATCCTTCATTTCCCACCCTCCCGGCCTCTCCACCTTTTTTTTTTCCGACGGACAGGACGAGCCGCCTATCGAGTGGCCCCACCGGGAGGGCGGGCGAGCACCTCCGGGCGTATGATTGGTGGAGAGCCGCGAGGACAGGGCGGGGCCTCAGCGTGGGGTTGGGTGGCCGGTCCTGCTCGGCCGCTCGTTAGTGTCGCTCGGGCGTCCGTGGGAGACGCTTCGTTGCCGGAGCGTCTCTTCTCTCTTTCTTCCCCCGCCTCACTCCCCGATTTGCCTTCGCCCTCTTTGGCGGCTCCGACCGGGGGGGTGGCGGCTCCGTGATGGATCTCGGGGGCGTCGCCGCCGTTGATGGCCTCCCGAGAAGCCGCTGACCATTTCGCGGGGGCGCCGGTC